AGCGGTCAATCCCAGCCACCAGGGCATGGCTGTAGGGGCGGTCTGAGGTGCCATCATCAATGTTCTGAACAAGTAATAATAAATCTGTTAGCCACGAAGGGCCCACTCAGCGCCTATGCTAGATGTTCTTAAGGCCTGTGATAGGAAGGATGGGGGGCCCCCCACCCCCTAAGATCTCAATTACATAGGAAGAAAACCACAAGGCCAGAACATCTTCCCATCAGAAGGAATCTGTAAAGGCTCTTGCAGGGAAGAAAAAAAGCAATTAAGAACAGTCAACATTCATATAGTCATTGCTATATACCAAGCTCTGGTTCTCAGATTTGTAGAGGGAACAAAAGCGAGGGCTCCAGTGTTCCCACAAGTGTATGGTGCCTCTTTACAGGCTGCAAAACAGTGGAAAGCTGACAGTGAAAAGCAACAACACTGTGACCACGCTGACCAGGACCCATTCCTCTTTCTACTGAACCCCAGCAGCATCACTTACTGCCCAACTCAAGTGAAAGCTCGAGCCCAGCTGCAAAGCAGGGTTCCAAGCAAGCACTTCACAAGCGCTATTATTATTATTATTATTTAGAAGCCTCTTCGGTTGCTAACTCACTAAGTCTTCGGAGTGCGATTCGTGTTTGTTTTGTTCTGCAACTCGCTCTCACAAGCCCTCCCGCACTAGCCGCGGCTGCAACGCTTGGAGGCTAACGCACTGAATCTCCCTCTCCAACCGCATGCTCGCAGCCCTCGGGAACGCGCCCGATCTCGCGGGGCCCGGATCGTACCTTCACGATGACCGCTTTGCGTCCCGAGTAGCGGCCGGCCAGGACCAGCACCACCTTCCCGGGTTTCATGAACTTGCCCATTTCTGCGGGGAGGAAGAGGGGAAAAAAAAGGCCCCTTTAACCGTCCGTCAGGCTGTGGTCGCGAGACTACAGACTGAGTTCACTGCTGTCGTGGCTGAGGTCGCCCACGAGCCCTACTTAGAGGGCAGAGTTCACCACGGAGTCGCCAGAGACCGGAGGATGGAAAACATCCAGTACCGTCGCGCAATTAAAACCCCGGGGCCGCGGATGGCGGCGGATTGGAGGACCCTGCCCCAGCCCCAACTCACCGACAGCAACCACTCGGGCCTACAGACGAAAGGAAGGACCTGCACTTCCGCTAACCTTTCACCCCCCCGGGAGAAGTGAGCTCATTTCCGGTTCCGCTCTTCCGCCCCGCCATACTTTTTTTAAGAGACGCTCAAGAATTTCAGTTACTGGCGGAAGAAGCCGGCTAGGGGAAAAGCTGGGCCTGGCAGCGCGTTTATCCAAATCAAACTTTATTAGCAGCTTTCACCGTACTCAAGTTGACAGAGAACTTCCGGTTGCCTGATGAAAGAACTAGCAGGGCTCTTGCGCGCAGCCTGTTCACACAGTCGCTCTGCTGTCTTTTGGTTGACGAGAGAGACAATCAAAAACTGCCTTTACCGCCCCCGCCTCCTTCGGGAGATTCGGGAAACAAAATAGGACATTACTTTCCATTATATGCACTATTAAGCGTAAGAAGGGAGAAACGAGTATGAAACAAGAGTATTTGCTCCAATAGCAAACGGGTAGGGCGTTTGCCTTGCATGCAGCTGACCTGGTCGGCCCAAGTTCGATTCCTCCGACCCCCTCGGAGAGCTCGCCAGAGTACCGAGAGTATCTCGCCAGCAAGGCGCAAAGTCTGGCAAGCTTACCCGTTTGGCATTCGATATGCCAAACACAGTAACAACAAGTCTCACAAAAGAGACGTTACTGGGCCCGCTCGAGCAAACTGATGAACAACGGAGGACAGTGCTATAGTGTAATTTTAGTGCAATATTTCCGAATAGATAAGCAGGGAGGAAGGATGAGAGTACACTATGCGAGGCAGAAGGAGTCTCTGTGGATACTATCTTATCAGACCCTTGAAACAGCACTGGGACATGGACTGTAGCTCCATTCCAAACCAGCATGCAGTGAATAAATAAAGACCATTGGCGGAGCTGGAACTCAGTCATCCCAGCTCCGGAACACAGTTCCCTGACTGTATGAGCATATGACACTATCTGACACCGTGTTAGGCAGGATGCTGGGCACTTTAGTCAGTTTACTTAAGCTTCCAACTCTTAGTCTTTATTTTTACTTTATTTTTGGTGGTGGGGGTAGCACACCTGGCTGTGTTCAGGACTGATTTCTAGTTCTGTGCTCAGGAATGACTCCTGGCGAAGTGCTAGAGATGGAACCCGGGTCGTCTGCATTCAAGGAAAGCGCCCTGTCTGCTGTAACTATTTCTTTGGTCCCTGAGTTTTAATTTTCATCTTATTTAGACATGAAGAATTTGAAATTCAGAAAAGATCTTAGCTATAGGAGGCCCGTTTTACAGTTTTTTTATTTTAATAATTTAAAACTAAAGAACTTATAGAACTGATGGACGAGTGGGATGGAATGATAGTACAGTGGGCAGGGCACTTGCCTCGCATGTGGCTGACCAGGGTTCTGTCCCCAGCATCTCAAATGATCATGGTCCCCAAACTCTCCAGAAGTGGTCCTTGAGTACAGAGCCACAAGTAAACCCTGAGCACGGCTGCGTGTGAACTCCCACCCCCTGACCCCAAAATTGTCTGGGCCAAATGTGGGGAAAAAACATGGTTTCACCACACTTTTTTGGGGGAGGGGTGAATAAGAGGGGTTTGGGCCACATCTGGTGATGCCTAGGAGATATTCCTAGCTCTGAGTGTACAAGAGTGCCCCTCTGACATTGCTCAGGGAATCATATGGTGTTGGAAATGGAACTAGAGTGGGCTGCACTCAAGGAAAAGGTTTACCTCCTATACTTTTCTTACCTTAGGAGTATTATGATGATGATGATTTTGAGTCACACTCTGCTTTGCTCAGGGTTTACTCCTGGTCGGGCTTGAAATAGAATTGGGTCAGCCATATCAGCAAGCATCTTTTCGGACCCACTCGAGCTAATTGATGAACAACGGGAGGACAGTGACAGTTACAGTGACACTCTCTCTAGCTGCCATAGGGCTTGTTTTATTTTGGGGCCACACCCAGCAATACTCCTGACTCTGTGCTCAGGGATTACTCCTGGTGGGCTCAGGGGACCATATGGAGTGCTGGGAATGGAACCCAGGTCGGCTGTGTGCAAGAGAAGTGACTCCCCCTATCCCACCTTAGGGATTTTAAACCTCTTTTTTTTTTCTTTTTGGGTCACACCCGGCGATGCTCAGGGATTACTCCTGGCTCTGCACTCAGGAATTACTCCTGGCGGTGCTAGGGGACCATATGGGATGCCAGGGATCTAACCCAGGTCGGCCACATGCAAGGCAAACGCCCTACCTGCTGTGCTATCGCTCCAGCCCCTAAACCTCACTTCTCTATCCTTTTCCACTTGTTCCTTAACTGATCCAGTTGATGAGTCTTGGTTCTACTGGGCTGGTGGTATAATGAAGAGTCCAAGGATGTGATGCTTCTTTGACCCTGCAGTGCAAGGCAAGCACCTTAACCCCAGTACTATCTCTCCAGCCTGGCAGCTCTACTGTTGAGCTACATTCCTTGAGGTAAAATGTTAGAATATAGGGGCTGGAGAGATAGCACAGCGGGTAGGGCGTTTGCCTTGCACGCGGTTGACCCGGGTTCGATTCTCAGCATCCCATATGGTTCCCTGAGCACTGCCAGGAGTGACCCCTGAGTGCAGGGCCAGGAGTAACCCGCCAGGTGTGACCCAAAAAGCAAAAAAAAAAAAAAAAAAGTTAGAATATAACTACTACAGAATTTGAATTCAGGAAACCTTTTTTTTCCCTTTTTTGGTCATACCCAGCGATCCTCAGGGCTTACTCCTGGATGGGATGCCGGGTATTGAACTCGGGTCGACCAAGGGCAAGGCAAACGCACTACCCTCTGTACTATCGCTCCAGTCCATTATCCTGGCTTTAAATTGCAGTTCTTCCATCATGGAAGCCCTGATAAAATGTTTAACCTCTCTGGAGCTGTTTCCTCAGCAGTAAAATGGGGATACTGTCTTGCCTTATGAATAGTGAGAATTAAATTAGAATAACCCAGGGTCCAGGAAATTAGTACAGGAAGTAAGGAACTTGCCTTGCATGTGGAAGACCCCAGTTCAAATCTGTGGTAATGCATATGGTCCTAAGTACCACCAGGGACCACTCCTGAGCACAGGTAGGAATAAGCCCTGGGTATCTGGGTGTCCTACCAAAAAATTTAGAATGACAAAAATGTTTCACGTGATGCTACCACAAAGCTTTAATATAAATCAACTTTTGTGATGCTTAGAATGTTGGGTTTTCTGTGAACTGAAGAGCAGTGGTTAGAAAAAGAAAAGGATAAACGGGCTGGAGAGATAGCACAGCGGGTAGGGCATTTGCCTTGCATGTGGCCAACCCGGGTTTGATTCCCAGCATCCCATATGGTCCCTTGAGCACCGCCAGGAGTGATTCCTGAGTGCATGAGAGCCAGGAGTAACCCCTGTGCATTGCTGGGTGTGACCCAAAAAAGAAAAAAAAAAGATAAACAGTGCTTGGAGAGGGCTGGGGGGGTAGCTCAGTGATGGGGCACTTGCCACCTTGCATGTGTGAAGATGTGGGTTTGGGTGCTGTAACTTTGCTTCATCCCAAATAAAAATATCTAGAAAGATAATGCCGTGGTGATAAGAGCTATGTCAGATGGCTACACAAGTGATCACCCACCTTAAATATCAAATAGATTTACCAGGGCGGATACAGAGCATTTGTGGTGAGATCTGTGGGAGGGGCTTTGTGAGGAACATGGATGACAATGCCAAGTTTACTTTTTAGTAAATTCATTCAGGAGGAAAAATCACCACTTAAACTGATTAGATCTAAGACATTTACTGGTGATTTTAGAGGGCAAAGAAGAGAGAAGGGAAATTACAATATGGATCAGAGAGACAATTGATAATGCCCAGGTTGACTTATAAACCAAAAACCAAGGGTCACTAAGATCTCTGCAGAGAAGCTAACAAAATACTATGTTTTTATTGGCAACCACATATATTTATAAAATTTCTCACAACGTTTTACATTCATCCTGTTTCATACAGACCTAATTGAATGAATTATCAGTTATACATATTAAATAACATTTTGACAAAATTAAGTTAAAATACACTAAAATGTAATTGTGCAGACACAAAGTGCAGCAGGCAACTTAATACACAAACAGCACTCAGTAATATTCCGAGCCCATTTGGTTTTTCATAAAGTGATACCCTTTGCCTCTCTTTGGTCAGTCCTGGAGCAATATGCAAACTGCATGACAACTAAGAACATCACAGGGTAAAAGCCTAAAAGATTTTATCAAGTAGGATGGATGTAGATTCAGTTTTACAAAGAGATGCTTAGACCCTTGTCCCTAGTGATCTGCTGCAGTTCCTACTACATGACCCATACTTCCTCCTCCATCATCCAGTCTCTAGGCTCCAGGCATGTGTACCTAGAGTTACTACATCACCAATGTGCATTCTGTTCCGTCTTTGACTTGGGGGAAAGGGTAGTCTCAAGGAGTACACCTCTAACACATTTACTCCTGATTGTAGCACAAACACATTTACTTCTGGTAAGATGTATCCATCACCCTAGGAGGTGATGAGAGGAAAGGGTCCTCGCCAAAGGACATGCTACAGACCATGATTGTCATTCCTCATAAACCACCAGTTCCCAGACTGTGATCTGTGTCATGAGAAGGGAACTACCTAGATTTGTTCTCACCTCTATGTGAAAGACAGCTCCTATTCAAACCAATTTGTGGTTAACTCCTGTAGAAGTTCTGTTGGTGGGTATTCCCATCCCTCACCTTATGTTTATTTTTATAAGGGCCTCACCCAGTGGTCCTTAGAAGGCCAGGATCTCACCATGTTATGAATGGGTTCTACCACTTGAGCTCTCTCCTAAACCCTCATTCCTACTTTTGTTTTTTTGGGGAGGAGTTTTGGGCAACACCTGGCAATGCTTAGGGTTTATTCCTGGCTCTGCACTCAGGATCACTCCTGATGGTGCTCAGGGGACCATATGGATGCTGGAGATCAAACCTGCGTAGGCTGCATGCAAAGCAAGCACCCTACCTGCTGTATTATCTCCCTCTCCCCCAGTCCTTCTTTTAGAGGGAATGAATCAAAGAGGGCTATCCATATGTCAGGGAAAAAGGGGCATCGGTATTCAGAAAAGGAACTTACATTCTGGCCTTAGGGTGCTATAATACTTGTTTCAAGTGGGGAAAGATGCCTCTGAAATAACCAGAGCCTTAAGTTGACTATTTTCAAGATCAACTGATATTGTCATTCACTGCCACAAACAGGAGTGAATAGGTTTTGTAAGAACAGTCATGGTGTGAGTCGGTGTATTAACTGTGTCCAATGACTGCTTTTTTCCCATAGGTCCAAATATCTGTGCCCTGATGCACTGATGACATACTGGGCCAGAATCTTTTAACAAAAGCGTACCCAGCATATCTTTCTAATATACTCAGCTGGTGGGGGAAATAGACTGAGTCATTTGGCAAAGGAAAGATGCCCTTTCCCTCCTTCCTGCTCCTACCCCAGAAGGCTGTTGTATCCCAACTGAGCAAGGTGCTGGTCCAGGGCCAGGGTGTTTTCATCAAAAAGCATCTTTGATGTTCTTGAGCTGGCGCACAGCCAGGTCCACAGGGAGGCTGAACTTGAGGCTGCTGAGGCGGCTGAGCAGGTTGAGGGCGCTCTCAAAGCCTGTGTGTGCCATGTAGCTCCAGGGCTGGTAGTGGGCCTCGATGAGTGACCCTGACTTGCAGATGAGGTTCATCCAGGACACAAGACGCTGCTCATTCAGTGCCATGCACACCAAGGCCTTCAACTCTGAGTCTGCACTGCGTTTAAAAGGGTCGTGTTCTGTCAGCACCATGTGGATGGCCGTCAGCAGACTCTGCTTGGGGGTCACAGCCGTGCCTCCCCCAACAGGCAGTGCGAAGGACTGGGAGAGCTTCCGGGCTGGGGATTCCACGTAGGCACGGCCGTTCTTAGCATGGTAGTACTTGACAAAGAGCTCCCAGGGGTGCATGGCCTCTGGGGCTGAGGAGAAGGCAGGCAGCAAACAAGCAATGGGGGCCATGACCAGGCTCATCCCTGGGGAGGAGGCATATAGTCCATGGGCCAGCAGGTCCCTCACCGCCACCGTAAGCTCCTTTCGCACGGCCATGGTCAGCTCGTCCTTGCCTCCCAGAGCAAGGTCCTGGAGGTTGGCTGACGTGATGACATGGCCATGTGGCTGATGCCGTAAGGCCAGCTGCTTCACTCGGTCGACGGATGCCTCCAGTCTCTTGAGTAAGGGTGAGTAATCTGTGTCAGTTTGGCCCCGCTGCCACAGGGTTTGTGGGATCTGGCCAGTGGTACAACCGAACTGGCTAACGGCAAAGATCTGGAGCATGGCCAGCGCCCGGCGCATCAGGTGCAGCCCAGTCTCCTGGGCCCTCTTCATGTCGTCTGCCTTTGCTGTTCAGAAACATGATGAGAGTCAGTGAGAGGGACACTCAACAAAGACAGAGGGCCAATCAAGTCACAAGCTGAGATTGTGACTTGCTTCCGAGCTACAGCATGAGTCTCAGAGGTGGCCAAGAGTCTCCCAGAATCAGAATTTTTTTTTTCCTTTTGAGCCATACTTGGTGATGCTCAGAGGTTACTCCTGGCTCTGCACTCAGTAATTACTTCTGGAACTGCTCGGGGGACCATATGGGATGCTGGAGATCGAACCCAGGTTGGCAAATGCCCTCCCCCACTCCCTGCTGGACTATCACTTGATTCCCGACTTGTTCTTTTTTTTTTTTTAATTAAACATACCATGATTTACAGAGGTATTCTGCATACAGCTGTTTCAAGCATTTAGTATTCCAACACCACCAGTGTGCCTTCCCTCAACCATTGGGCTGAATTGTCTTTTGGGGCAAGCTGTTGATAGTTGCATTGAGACAGATGAATAGAAAATCAACCATTGGGCTGGAGCAATAGTACAGCGGGAAGGGCGTTTGCCTTGCACTCGCCAGATTCGATTCCCAGCATCCCATATGGTCCACCCAAGCACCACCAGGAGTAATTCCTGAGTGCAGAGTCAGGAGTAACACCTGTGCATTGCTGGGTGTGACCCCCCCCGCAAAAAAAAAGAAAGAAAATACAACCATCTGAAGTGTACAAGCAGGAACTGGGGGGATGGCTCAAAGGGTTAAAGGACACGCATTGCATGCACTAGGCCCTGAGTTCCATGCCTGGCACCAAGAAGCTCCCAGCAGTGCTGGGGAGAGTGCATACAACCTCAGCCCACACCTGAATATTGCTGGGATTGCCCCTCAGTCTCCACAGAACTGTTTGGAAGAGTACCCAGTCCAATAATGTATATAAAAAATGTAAAATGCTTCTAGTTTATTCACTGTCATGAGTGTCTCAGGGGCCAGTATTTTCTTTTCTACGCTTCTGCCCAAGTTCCCAGCCCAAGGCCACTGCAAATCTCCTTTCTCCTTTGAAAGCTGGACTTACCTTTACCATTTCCTGGAGGCCGTCTGCTCCCAGTCCTGGTGGCGCCATTTGCTGCCTTCCCTGCAGCCCTGCACTCACAGTGTCCACCCTGTGACGGCACAGGGCTGCCCGCTTCATCTGAAACCAGACGTTACAAAGAGGAGATACTTACAGAACCTCTTCATGGCACATTTACCAAGGGTGACTATTTACTAGTGTTTATTCCATGGCAAAACTTTTACATACAGAGTCTGTATTGTGTGGAACAGGGACCGGCACAGGATCTGGCTTAATTAAATATTTGCTGAGTGAAACAGTATGAATCATTACTTACTAGACTAGGGGAGTGGAAGCAGAGAGGTTAGGAACCTGCCCAAGGAATCAAGGCCAGGAAGTGGCAGAGCCAGACCTTCCTGTATGGCTCTTAAATCCATGCTTTCCCCACTCTGTGACTCTGGTTCCCTGACTGAGTATTGAGCCTCTTAAATAATCAGGATGTCAGAACTGGTCCCTGAGGTACTCCGAATACATTTAACTGTTGTAACATCTACCCACTCTTCTCTCCCAACCCTTCCTCTGACCTTGGATGAAGTTGATGAACATCTCGAGGTCTCGGATCTGAGTTTTCAGCTGCTCGACCAACTGCTCTTTCACTCGGGCAGGGTTGACAATTTGTGCCACAGCGACATCCACACGCTGCCGAAGCTCATCCGTGGACAGTGAGCTGAGGTCCTCGTTCAGGTTCATGTCCAGTTTCTTTATTAGCTCATCTATGATCACCTAGCAAGACCGTATGCAATAAGTACAAGCTTTGGAGTTTTCATGAAGGCTAGGAGGAGAACTACTGCTTCCTACCCTAAAATCAAATACACAGAGAACTTCCTGTTTGTGAGGGAATGTATGCTCCTGCCAACGATCAGGGTGAGGGCACAGACCCCTTGCTTCTTTTAAGACTGATAAGAGGGGCCGGAGAGATAAGACAGTGGGTAGGGCATTTGCCTTGCATGCAGTCAACCTGGGTTCAATCCCTGGCACCCCATATGGTTCCTTGAGCCTTACCAGGAATGATCTCTGGGCGCAGTCACAATAAGTCCTGAACAAAGGCGAACGCAGGACACCCCCTCCCAGAAAAAATAAAGTGAAAAGAATCCTTTGATATTCTCCAACAGAAATGACTCTTTTTACTGCATTTTCTTCCCCAGACCAGGCAGCTACCACTAAGAACCATGTGAATAATCCAAAATGGCTGATAATTCAGAGAGCCATTCTACCAAGGCCTCCGAGAGAATAAACACCAGTTTTATTTAGTTTCTAATTCTTCTCATCCTTTCTTACCTTATGAAACTAAAGAAATTGGGCCAGAGCGATAGTACAGTGGGTAGGGCATTTGCCTTGCACGCGGTCAACCTGGGTTATATCTCCGGCATCACATATGGTCCCCAAACCCCATCAGGAGTGATGCCTGAACTCAGAGTCAGGAGTCCTGAGTACCACTGGGTGGGAGCCCCAAAGCAAAACAAAAAACAAAGAAGAAACTAGAGAAATTTCTACTATGCCGGGGATGTGATTCAGTAGAGTCTTAGATGTGTGAGGCTCTAGATTCAATCATAAGCAGCACAAATAAACAAAAATCCAAAACCAAAAGGAACTCTTTAGGGGCTGGAAAGACAGTACAAGTGGTAAGGTGCTTCTGCCTTGCAAGGAGCAGGCCTGGAGTCAATCCCTAGAACAACATATGGTCCCGAGTATAACTAGGAGTGAACCTTGAGCACAGAGCCAGGAATAAGTCCTGAGCATAGTTGGGTATGCCAAACACACACACACACACACACACACACACACACACACACACACACGCGCGATCAATGCACATTGTTAGGAATATTTTGAAATCCAGCCCCCCCGCCCTGCACCCCAATCAATCAGTGCACATTGTTAAGAACATTTTGAAATCCAGCCTAACCAGGATATCACAAGGTGAGAACAAGAAGCAGCAGCTATACCTGTTTCAACCAGCAGATTTACCTGCCTGCTCAGGTATTAATATTAAGTGAATATCCCACAGCTGTGTATCTCTTAATAGTGTTTCCATCAAGGATGGGGTGCACACACATGTTGGTGCCAAGATGTTTATTTTTCCACTTACTTTCAAATTTTTTATTTCTGGACCGCACCCAGATGTGTTCAGGGCTTATTCCTGGCTCTGCACCCAGGGGTCACTCCTGACAGGGCTGGGGAATAATTTGTGGTTCTGGGGATCAAACCCAGGTTCGACACATGTAAGTGCCCTACCGATTGTACTACTGGTCTGGCCTCAATCTTCTCCCATTTGTGAGCCCTTCATGGCTGAGAATTTTTTTTTTCTTTTTTGGGGAGGACATGCCTGGAGGTAGTAAGGGCTTAACCCTGGCTCTGTGCTCAGGGATCATTCCTGGCAGGGCTCGGACAATATGCATCACTGTTGGGGATCAAATTGGAGTCAGCAACATGCAAGGAAATGTCTTAATCCCCAAACTCTCTCTCCAGTCTCACATCTAATTTTATGTAACCCCAGGATATACGTATAGAAAAATAGAAATATATCAAAGTTACTGATAATGAAGTATCCTAATCCCTGTACCATCACTGTCACTGTCCTCCCGTTGTTCATCGATTTGCTCAAGCAGGCCCAGTAATGTCTCCATCATAAGACTTTGTTGTTACTGTGTTTGGCATATTGAATACATCATGGGTAGCTTGCCAGGCTTTGCCATGCGGGCGAGATACTCTCCATAGCTTGCCGGGCTCTCCGAGAGCGGCAGAGGAATCGAACTCAGGTCAGCCATGTTGGCTGCATGCAAGGCAAATGCCCTACCCGCTGTGCTATCGCTCCAGCCCTGATATATATATATATATATATATATATGTGTGTGTGTGTGTGTGTATGTATGTGTATATATATATATATATATATATATATATATATATACATATATGTAGTTTATTTGATTTGTTTTGGGCCACACCCAGCAAAGCTCAGGGGTTATTTCTGGCTCTGCATTCAGGAATTACTCCTGGCAGTATTCAGGGGACCACACGGGATGCTGGAGATTGAACCTGGGTCAGTTGCGTGTAAGGCAAGTGCCCTATCTCCAGCCCCCAACATGTAGCTTTGGGCTATATTAAAGTTAACCTAGATCCCTGGAAAATGTATAATCTGAGGGTGGGTAGCAAAATAAAAATTTAGTCTATATTGTATGATGTGCCTACGTAAAACTTTTATAACTAAATAAAATTTAGCCAATAAATTATGTAATAAATTGTAATCAACAATAAGAAATTATTAAATAAAGTACTACTATAGTGTAGTAGTGCTTAACAATACCTTCAAAAGGGAGCTTATCCATCCTATGATACGGCTTTGGAACATCTGATTCTATATGGAAATAAAACCTGGTCCCACGTAACAGCAAAGGGGCCCTCCCAAGGGCTTGGGAGCAGCAGGCTGGGGAAACTGCCCTGTGAAACTGTGCTGAAGAGGTGCGGCAGCCTGGGGGTGCAGGGGGGCCGTCTCAGGTGCCTGCTCACCCGCTGTCTTTCCAGGACCATGGACTGTGGCAAGGAGTCATAACTGCCTTCTTGATAGGCAAACGTTTCCAGGTCATCCAGCTGGGTTTTGAGCTGCAGTATCAGTTCCTTCTGTTTCTCTCGTTGAGTTTCCAGGCGTTCCTGTTTCTCCTGCTCACTCTAAGACAACAAAATACTTAAGTCTATTTCACAGGAAAAGGACAATTCAGGACACACTGGAGTTGTTCGATTGCCACACCCAGAGATGCTCAGGGCTTATTCCTGGCTGGCACTCAGAGATCACTCCTGGTGAGCCTGGGGGGACCGTATGCAGTGCTGGGGATCAAACCTGGATTGGCCATGTGCAAGGCAAGTGCTATACCCACTGTATTATCATTCTGGCTCTAAGGATGCATTTTATTATTATTGGTTTGGGGGCCACACTCAGGGCTTACTCCTAGCTCTGTGCTCAGGGATCACTCCTGGCAAGCTCATATGGGGACCATATGGGATTCTGGGGATTGAACCTGGGTTGGCCATGTTCAAGGCAAACACCCAACCTGATGTACTATCTCTCCAGCCCCTAACTTTATTATTATCTGTAATTACATTTTTTTTCAGCGCCAGAGATTGAACCTCACACAAGTGAGTCACATGTTCTACTCAGCAGTAGCACATACTTCCCAAGACTGCATTTTGTTTTAAAATTTTTGGGGGGCGGGGGTCACACCTGGCGATGCACAGTGATTACTCCTGGCTCTGCACTCAAGAATTACCTGTGGCGGTGCTCAGGGGACCATATGGGATGCTGGGAATCAAACCCAGGTTGGCCACGTGCAAGGCAAACGCCCTACCTGCTGTGCTATTGCTCCAGCCCCAAAGACTACATTTTTAAATTAAAATTCTAAAAGGTATTATAGAGGTTTGGAGAGAGGTTCAACAGGCTGAGGGCATGCAAGAGGCCCAGGTTGATTCCCAGCACTGTAGAGTCCCCTGAGCACCCCCATGAAATGACTTCTGAACAAGCACAGAGTAGCCCCTGAGCACCACCTGGTGTCGCCCCTAAAGATTAATTTTAACCATATAACAGTACTTACCAGACCCTCCAGAAGGTATGGGTAAGAAAGGAAAGAAAAATTAACTTTTTTTTCAGGTTTTTAAGAAAGCAATCCTTTTGCTTTAGTTTTGTATTAACATAAAAGCTTTTTGCTGTATACTCTTTCCATTCTTCTTCAAGTTTTGTGGTTTTCCCCCTTAGAATCCTATCCCCCTTCCTGTCTTAGTTAAGACTTAACTATGGGGGCTGGAGCAATAGCACAGTGGATAGGGCGTTTGCCTTGCACGCAGCTGACCCGGGTTTGATTCCCAGCATCCCATATGGTCCCCCAAGCATTGCCAGGAGTGATTCCTGAGTGCAAAGCCAGGAGTAACCCCTGAGCATCGCCAGGTGTGACCCAAAAAGAAAAAAAAAAACCAAAAAACTTAACTATGTTTGAGCAGAAGGTATCCTCTATCTCCTCAGGCGGATCATCTAGTCCTCTGTATTTTGTACATACCTCAACTCCAGATTTGCCACACTGTAATTCTTTAATATTTGGTCTCCCCAGTCTCTGAGCTCCCGAAAGACCAAGGCCTTAAGTAGATGCCTTCGATGCTAATCACATAGCCTGGCACAGGGTAAGCTCTCATTGCACATTCTTGGTGTGTTACAAAATGAATCTGACAGTGGATCAGAAAAACACACTTTAAATAAAGAACTCTGAATTGAGAGAGTTGTATAAGGAAGCAAAGAAGATAGAACTGGAACATGTACTGTCTTAACTGTACCCTAACTTTATTAAATCAAGGAAGAAAACAGCTATAAATTCTAGCTACATCCATGACTATATCTAGGATGCTCCCATGCTCTGATGACTGCAGTCCGCTCATCACTGGCATGTGGACACATATGCTTGCTAGGTGAGAACAGGAAGGTCTGACGCAAGGCACAAAATGGGAATTTATTATTTTTTTTTTTAGCATTAAATTCAGAGCAAACATTTTTGCTTTTTTTGAGGGGGGGTCACAACGGCATTGCACAGGGGTCCTCCTGGCTCTGCACTCAGGAATTACCCCTGGCAGTGCTCAGGGGACCAGATGGGATGCTGGGAATCAAACCTGAGTTGGCCGTGTGCAAGGCAAATGCCCTATCCACTGTGCTATCGCTCCAGCCCCAGAGCAAACATTTTTGGAATTGAGGGCTAAGGGTCAAAGATGTACCTCGGAGTATTTGCTCTCTGGGTCACACCCAGTGATGCTCAGGGGTTACTTCTGGCTCTGCACTCAGGAGTTACTCCTGGTGGTACTCGGGAAACCATATGGGATATTGGGGATTGAATCCAGGTCAGCCACATGCAAGACAAATGCCCTACCTGCTATCACTCTAGCCCCAAGATTAAAGATTTTTTTTTTCTTTTTAGGTCACACCTGGCGATGCACAGGAGTTATTCCTGGCTCATGAACTCAGGAATTACTCCTGGCGGTGCTTGGGGGACCATATGGGTTGCTGGGAATAGAAGCCGGGTCGGAGTGTGCAAGGCTAACACCCTACCCACTGTGCTATCATTCCAGCCCTGATTACAGATTTTTTTTAAAAGAAATTTTTATTACTTTGTGTGTGTGTGTGTGTGTGTGTATTACGGGTCACATCTAGGTGGTGAGCAGGGAACTACTTCTAGCTGTGCTCATGGTTGCTCTGGGAATCATGGGGTACCAGGGACGAAGTGGGCTGACCACACATATGGAGCCATATCCACTGGCCCCACCATTCTGCATGTTTGTGAGCTGTACACTTTTAAAAGCTGTATTGTTTCTGAGAGTGAAAAATGAGCTAAAAGGGGCTGGAGTGATAGCACAGCGGGTAGGGCGTTTGCCTTGCACGCAGCCAACATGACCAACACAGGTTTAATTCCCAGCATCCCATATGGTCCCCTGAGCACCGCCAGGAGCAATTCCTGAGTGCATGAGCCAGGAGTAATCCCTGAGCATTGCCGGGTGTGACCCAAAAAGAAAAAAAAAAAAAAGCTAAAAGAGGACTGCATCCATGTAAAACTTGGGTGCTCCTCACTCTGGAACAAGGGGCCACAGTAATTCTCTTTTCTATTCCTGAAAAGTATGGTGATGTGAGGTAGGGCTATTCCTGGAGCAAAGAGCTGTGGGTACTTGACAAGCTTTCTGGGTTCAAATCAACCTACACTGGGCCAGAGAGATAATAGAGAGGTTAGGGTGCTTGCCTTGCATACAGCTCACCCAGATCCAATCCCAGCACCACATGGTTCCAAGGACCATTGGGTGTGCACCCCCCAACCCCCACCCAAAAAAAAACCCACATATGAACAACAAAAAAAAGGAAGCCGTGTGTTGATTCTAACTTGAAGAATAGAAAAGATGGAGAAAAGACCTCTCTCCAACAGTCTTCTAGAGACTCAAATATTGTAAGGAAATGACCCCGTGGTGGGGTAAATCGTTTCAAAGTGGGCAAACTGGATGAAGCTGTAAGTAACCTTAAGGACCTCGTGTAGCATACCTGGCTATTACGCAGGCTGGAAAAGTAATTTTAAAAGTAGCAACGTTAGGATATTAAAACTGTCAGGAGTTGTGTTTCTTTCACGTACTAAGAGACCCCGGGGTTTTCGAAAGCTCTCACCCAGACAAGCGAAAGCAAAAATCACAGACCTCCACTGGGTCCCAGCAACCCAGGGACATCAGCTAGCTCTTCCCTTGTCAGCTTTCTCAACCCCTGGGGTCGGGGTGCTTGTCGGCAAACACTCGCAGCCCGGACACGGGCATTTCAGGGGTGATGATGGCAAGGTGAGAGGCAGCAGCAAAGCTTTTGGCTGCTCCTAATATCCCGTTCTCCCACACCTTCCCCTGGTCGCCGGTCCCCGTTCTGCCAGGTTTTTTGGGGGGGGCGCGTGCTTCCCTAATCCCGCGGACTCCATTCATCCCCGCCCCGGGCAGCGCTCCGAGCCGCTCACCTGCTCCTCGCCCCGCCACCGCGGCCGGTCCCCCGGCAGCCCGTCCCCCTCGTCGCCGGCGGGGTCCTCGGGTCCCCCGTAACCCAGGACGTGAGGACAGCCGCGGAAGGCAAAGTCCTCGAGCTCGCGCAGGAGGCGCTGCTGCTCGGCCGGCGCCCCGCGCACCACCTGGCGCAGGCGGAACTGCACCTGCGCGAAGTGCGAGGACAGCGCGAGCAGCGCCGAGTCCAGCCGCCGCCGTTCGGCCCGCAGCCGCCGCAGCGTCCGGCCAGGCGAGTCCGGCGGGGAGCCCGGGGCCGCGCCCACCTCCTCGGCCGCCGCCACCGCCCCGACCGGGGCCCAGCGCACGGCCTCGCACGGCGGCAGCGACTCCTCTTCCTCCTCCTCCTCCTCCTCCTCGTCGTCCTTCGCTGCCACCGCCGCCGCCGTCGCCGGGACCGGCTCGGCAGCTGCGCCCGCGGCCGCCATCTTTCCGGAAGCGCCGCCGCACGTCAGCCGCGCCCCCTCGCTGCTATGGCAACAGCGCGGGCCGCCCTGGAACCTGCGGGAGCGGGTGGGCGGGGCTCTGACGTCACGGGGCTCAGCTGTCACTGAGGCCCGACCTTCCTCCGGGAGCTGAGTTTCGCGGTCGGTGGTGAATCAGGCAGTGTTAGAGACGCAGATGAACGAAACGCGAAATAAATCTGTGCATGTGAATCAGGGCCCCTCTGACGGGTCGTTTATTCTCGAATTTCTGGAAAGTTTATTTTTAGATTTTCCAATCACACACCGGCAGTGCTTAGGGTTTACCACTGGTTCTGGGCTCCAAGATTGTGACTGGCGGACCATATGGGGTGCCAATGATCGAACCCGGGTCAGCTGCTTGCAAGGCGAGCACCATACCCGCTATACTGTCGCTCCGGCCCCAGATCTCAAAAGTTTCAAGATTTATGCTCTCCTGAGTCTTTCGGGAGTGCGGATCCATTGACTGACTACCTTTCCCTCCTTCCAAGCACGCCTTCCTCCTTCCATATAAGGAGAAGCAGCTGCGGGGGGCGTACCCCAGGGTCTAAAGATAGCGACCCATGCGTCCCTCTGGCTCCAGCCTGCGGGCCAGCGGGCAGCCGGCGGCAGGGGAGCCGCCATGGCAAGGTAAGTTTCCTTTTTCTCTGGAAGTGCCCTCCCCTCAAGTTTTCAGGGCGCTCAGGGTCTGTGAGGTCCTATGGAAACCCTCCAGACCCCACCCTAGGTCCTAACTTTGGGACAGCCTGAATGTTCTCCATAACTCCCTATTTCATTAGCATGTTTCATTTTTTTTTTAGATATCCCAGAAACGATGACGTTTATAAGCCATATTTATATATTTAGGTTTGGGGGGCCACACCTGGCAGTGCTCAAGGCTTACCCCTGGCTCTGCACTAGGAATCTTTCCTGGGGGAGGGGTGTTGCTCTGGAGATCATGTGGGATGCCAGGAATGGAACCCGGGCTGGCTGCTTGCAAGGCAAGTACCCTACCTGCTATGCTATCACTCTGATTCACTTTTTTTCCCTTTTTTCTTCTTTGTTTTTGGGCCAGGCTGGGTGATGCATAGGACTTATTTCTGGTTCTGTATTCAGGGATCATTCCTGGAGTGCTGGGAGTTCAAGGGGGCATTTGGGATACTGGGGATCAAATCTAGATGGGCTCTGTGCAAGGCAAGTGCCCTACCCGCTGTATATCACTCCAACCCATTCCTCCCTTCTTCTTTAGTCTCTCACTTTCTGTTCTCCCCCAGTTCACCCTTGACCCTGCACAGACCCACGCCAGTCATTCTCCTTCCCACTGATTTGGCTCACTTTGGCCAGCGGTAGCATTAAACATCCCTCCATCTCCTCTTCCTCCACCTTTCCCAAATGCTGTCTTCCCTCTCCCTTGCCCACAAAGCTCCCTCTCAACTCCTTGCAGGCAGCATGCCCCCACCTTGTGGTATGACCGCCCTAAGTACGTGTACATGGAGTTTTGTGTTGAGGACAGCACTGATGTCCAGGTCCTCATCGAAGACCATCGCATCGTGTTCAGGTAACTGTGACGCCTCCCCCATCTGGTTTCCTGGGACGCTGTCCCTTTCTCCTTGTGGCCCCCTGGTCCAGCCTCCCGTCTCACAGCTGCTGCTTTGTATCCTCAGCTGCAAGAATGCAGACGGAGTGGAGCTGTACAATGAGATTGAGTTCTATGCCAAGGTCAACTGCAAGGTAGGACGGGCGGGGACAGAGGGCAGGATGGTAGGGCTGCCCAGGGAAACTGCAGGCTCTTCCGAAACCTCAGGCCCTTAGAAGCCTCTTTATGTGCAGGACTCACAGGATAAGCGGTCTGGTCGCTCTATTAGGTGCTTTGTGAGGAAGTGGAAGGAGAAGGTGGCCTGGCCCCGGCTCACCAAGGAGGACAACAAGGTGAGGAGCAGCCACTCTTTCTCTGCATGCTTTCTGCATGCCCAGGTACCCAGGTCAGCTCTGGGATCACCTTGCTTTCTCTCCCACCGACATTCAGTCTCTCTCTGCCCTACCTACTTAGCTTATCTCATTCTAATTCAGTCCTCCTCAATCACTGAGATGTGTGTTTTTAGCCCCACTACCAATTCATGGTTCCTGTCTATGCTTTCTGCATGGTCTAAGGCACATATTTCAATCCTGACATTCTTCCACTTAAGAAACTCTAAGAGGGGCTGGAGCAATAGTACAAAGAGTTTTGAGGGTTTGCCTTGCACGTGGCCAACCCGGGTTCGATCCCCAGCATCCCTCATGGTTCTCCGAGCATTGCCAAGAGTAATTCCTGAGCGCAGAGCCAGGAGTAACCCCTGAGCATCACTAGGTGTGGCCCAAAAACAGGAAAAAAAAAGAGGCAAAACCAGGTCTGGAGGGGCTGGAGCGATATCACAGCGGGTAGGGCGTTTGCCTTGAATGCGGCAGACCCGGGTTCGATTCCCAGCATCCCATATGGTCCCCTAGCACTGTCAGGAATAATTCCTGAGTGCAGAGCCAGGAGTAACCCCTGTGCATTGCCAGATGTGACCAAAAAAGCAAAAAAAAAAAAAAAAACCCAGGTCTGAAGACAGGGTTCAAAGGGCTGGAGTCCATGTTTTGCTTTTTGACCCACAAAGCAAAAAGCTAAAGCAAACAAAAACATTCAAGGCAAGCACCTTACCTCCTGGACTATTTCTCTGACTATTTTTTTTGGGGGGAGGCAACCTGGTGTATGCTCTAGGACCACACCTGGCAGTTCTTTTGGGGGGGGGGGCACAGTGAACTGTGCTCTGGGCTTACTCCAGGATGTGCACTCAGGGATCACTCCTGGCAGGCTTGGGGTATACTATACAGGTGCTGGGGATTGAGGGATTGAACCTGGCGCAGTCATGCACAGGGCAAACATTCTACCCACTGTGCTATCACTCTGGCCCTCACACCTGGTGGTTCTTGAGGATCCATATATGGTGTCAGGATTCCATCCAGGGTCTCAGCTTGCGGCCCACAATCCTAGGCAAGTGTCTTAACCTTGTGTTATATATTTTTTTATGTTTGCTTTTTGTTTTGAGGCCACACCTGGCAATTTTCAGCAGTTATTCCTACCTCTGCACTCAGGAATTACTCCTGGCTATGCTCTGGGATGCTAGGGATCAAAACTAGGTAGCCACAGGCAAGACAAGGGCCATACCCACTATGCTACTTCTCCAGCCCTTTTTGGTTCAAGGCAGAATAATAATGCTTCTCCAGTCCCCTCAGTACTTGGCATTGGCCTGGGCAATTGGGTTTCTGGTAAATCTTTGTGAATGACATGCTAGCAAAGAATTTTGTCAAGGACCCAACCTGATCACCCCCCCTCACCCTTTCCAGCTCATTCTTATAAATGTTCTTCTGTGTACTTTGGCCACTTACCCTCATGACTGTGACTCTGTTTTTCTTGCAGCCAGTGTGGTTGTCTGTGGACTTCGATAACTGGAGAGACTGGGAAGGAGATGAAGAGGCAGAGCTCGCTCAGGTGGAACATTATGCAGAGGTAACGCATTTCTGCCTGTCAGCATCATTTTCTGCCTGGCTGCACATATTCCTCTGGAGATTTGTCATCAGGGTCAGGCAGAGATACAGGCACTCTCCAGGATGGCCAGTCTGTGGCACTGATACACTGTCACTGTCCTCCCATTGGCAGGCCCAGTAACATCTTCATTTTGAGACTTGTTGTTACTGTGTTTGGCATATTGAATACATCATGGGTAGCTTGCTAGGCTCTCCAAGAGGAGCAGAGGAATTGAATCCAGCTCGGCCAGGCTGGCTGCATGCAAGGCAAACACCCTACCGCTATGTTATCGCTCCAGCCCATATATTTATATGAAAAAAAATGTGTGTATATATATGTACATATATATTTTTTCTTTTTGGCTCACCCCTAGCAATGCACGTTACTCCTGGCTCTGCACTCAGGAATTACTCCTGGCGGTGCTCAGGGGACCATATGGAATGCTGGGAATCGAACCAGGGTCGGCTGTGTGCAAGGCAAACGCCCTACCCGCTGTGCTATCGCTCTAGCTTCCAGGCACTGATATTCTTTTATTTATTTGTTTGTTTTGTTTGTCTTATGTTGTGTATTAATTTTTGTGCTGATATTCTTAACTTTTTTTTGGCTTTTTGGGTCACACCCAGCGATGCTCAGAGGTTTCTCCTGGTTCTGCACTCAGGAATTCTCCTGGTGGTGCTTGGGGGACCATGCCAGGGATTAGACTTGGGTCGGCCGTGTACCTGCTGTACTATCACTCTGGCCCTTTACTTGTTTTCTTGCAACATTTTCTTAGTAAGGGTGAAAGAAATAAATGTCCTTTTCTGTGTGTGGGGTTGGTTATTGACCTTAGGGATTCATGCATGAAAGGTCTGTGCTATAGTCTAAGCTACATTCTTGGCCCCAAAATGAATATTCCATTAGTGAAATTGCATTCTTAGAATCGCTCATTATTCAAAGTTGACTCAGTGTTTTGAAAAGAAGAAATGGTGGCCAGAGATATAGTATAAGAGGTTAGGTACTTGCTTTTCCTGTGGCTGACCCCGGTTTGATCCCAGACACAGCATATGGTCTCTGGAGCACCACTAGGATCACTCCTGAGAACAGAGTCAGGAATAGCTTCTGAGTACCACTAGCCAGGAATAACTTCTGAGTACCACTAAGTGTGGCCCCAACCTTCCCACCAAAAAAAAAAAAAAGGCAAGGGGATGGAGCTATAGATAGGGGGTAGGGTGTTTGCCATGCATGCCCGGGTTCTATCCCCACCATCCCACATAGTCCCCTGAGCACCACCAGGAGTTAATTCCTGAGTGCAGAGCCAGGACTAACCCCTGCGCATCACTGGGTGTGGCCTCAAAACAACAATGACATAAAACAAAACAAAACAAAAAGGGGCAAAAGTAGGTCTGGAGATAGGGTTCAAAGGGCTGGAGTCCACTCTTTGTACGCTGGAGCTCCAGGTTTGAGTCCTGACACTGTAAGGTACCCCCCAATCCAGGATTGCCAGGAATGATCCCCAAGTACCACCAGGTGTCACCCAAACCCCAAAATAAACAAAAATTTCTGGGAAAATCCTTTTCCTTCTTAAATATAAGTAGTCTTTCTGTCTCTCTCTCTGTCTCTGTCTATCTCTGTCTCTCTATCTTTCTGTCTCTGTCTGTCTATAAGTCTGTCTGTCTTTCTTTCTCTCTTTCTCTCTCTCCTGGTTCAAATAAATTGCACCCAGCCCCAGCAGCCAACCTCCACTACCTAACCGCCGCCACGCTCCAGGCCGCTTTCCACACACTCAGGCCAAGCCTCACATATGAGTGAACATGTTCCTGGACACATCATAAGACACTCCCTACCCATTTTCCATAATTGCCACACCATATTTGATGGGGTTCAGACAACAGACAAAAAATCATAGAGAGAAATATATATATATGTACATATATATCTATATCACGATCACGATCACGACCACCCTGTTGTTCGTCGATTGCCTCGAGCAGGTGCCAGTAACGTCTTCTTCGTCCTAGCCCTGAGATTTTTTTTTAAGTGCCATATTCAAGGCTTTTTCAGGGTTAGGAGAATGAGACCCATCATTGTTACTGGTATTTGGCATATTGGGTATACCACGGGGAGTTTGCCAGACTCTGCCGTGTGGGCAGGTTACATTTGGTAGCCTGCCAGTTTGTCCAAAGTAGAAATGAGATGATAAAATGTCACGCGGCCGCGAATGTGGCCGCGCGCTTCCGGGAACTGAGTGTGACAATCTCTGGATCCTGGCTGTTGTTGGAGTTACACGGCAGTTGGTGGGTGTAACTGTCTAGTTACTGGCAGGTCCAGTCCCAAACCATGCAGGCTTGGAGATCTCAGCCCTGGGTCCCACACACCTGGGTTCCTCTGCCAGTTCTTTTATGCGTGAGGCTCATCCAAGTGTGTGGAGAGTGGTCCCAGCATGGCCTTGGCTGGGCCCCGGAGGTCTTCAGCTGTTGGGCCTCATATATATATGCCTCTCGGAGAGCCCGGCAAGCTACCGAGAGTATCCCGCCTGCACGGCAAAGCCTGGCAAGCTACCTATGACGTATTCGATATGCCAAAAACAGTAACAATAGCAAGTCTTGTTCCCCTGACCCTGAAAGAGCCTCCAATACAGCAGCATTGGGAAAGACAAATAAGGAGAGGCTGCTAAAAATCTCAGGGCTGGGATGAATGGAGACATTACTGGCGCCCATTAGAGTAAATCGATGAACAACCAGATGACAATGATACAGTGATACAGTGAAGTCATATATTATTTGGCTTCAGAATTGAAAACAAAGTCTGCATTGGGGATGCAATAATGATAGCACACTTCCCTCTGCATCTGTCTGCCTCTAGCTTGGATCCCCACACCACACACACAAACACAAAAGCCCCAAATCAAAATTTCAGTTACTATTTTTCGGGCTTCAAAAACACTAACAGATGTAACTTTATTCTATGTGTATGTTTAAATGTTTTTTGGGGGGAGAGGGCCTGAACCACACCCAATTGTGCTCAGAGCTTACTCCTACTGGAGGGCCATCTGCAGTGCTAGTAGGAATCAAACTGGAATCTGCCGCTTGCAAGGTACTGTTTACAGGGGTAAGGTATTTGCCTTGCAGGTGGCAGACCCAAGCTCAATTTCCCAGCACTGTATAAATCCTCTGAGTTAGACTACTCCTGAGCATAGAATTAGGAACAATCCCTGAGCACACTGGAGATAGCTTAACAGGCTGAGTGCATGCTTTGTATGTGGAGGTCTGGGGGTTTTGTTTTTTTTGGCTTTTTGGGTCACACCCGGCGATTCTCAGTGGTTACTCCTGACTTTGCACTCAAGAATTACTCCTGGTGGTGCTCAGGGGACCATATGGGATGCTGGAATCGAACCTGGGTCGGCCGTGTGCAAGGCAAACTTCCTACCTGCTGTAATATCACTCCAGGCCCAAGGTCTGGGTTTTATCCCCAGCACATGGTGTGATGCCAAGCCAAAACAAAACAAAATAGATTTTAATTTCTCTCTGTTTCATTCCAGTGATTTACTAACTAGGGACATTAAAGGTGGGGCAGTTTTCTGGCAGAATTGATTTTCCTGTACCCTTCTCATTTATGATTACTTTTTAAAATTCTACTAGCTTTTGAACAAGGTCAGCACCAAGAAACCTCCCCCTGCCATGGACGACCTGGATGTAAGTAAAGTTTGCCCCTCAACCCTTACTTTTTCTTTTGGTCTTTAAAACCAAGACACCTAGAGCCAGAGCGATAATACAGAGGGTAGGGTGCTGTCTTGCATGAAACCAACTGGCTTTCCATCCCCAGCATCCCCCGAGCCCCACCGGGAGTGATTCCTTAGTCCTGAGCCAGTAACCCCTGAGCATTGCTGAGTGTGACCCAAAAAGAAAGAAAGAAAAAAAGTCATGTGTTCCAGGAAATCCCAAAAGAGAGCTTGCAGAGTAGGATAGAGGGAAGCCTCATTTGTCAATAAAAATGTTTGTTCTTGGGACTGGAGTGATAGCACAGTGGGTAGGGCATTTGCCTTGACCATATGGGATGCTTTTGTTTTTTCTCCCTTAGGATGATTCCGACAGCACTGGGGCAACAAGTAATTAATGTCTGGTGACCACAGAGACGAGCTGGAAAGGACCAGGAGGAAGCCGCCTATTGTACAGTCACTCTGATGCTCTAGCCTGGCTCTCTGCCAACTCTTTGACTATGCTCCAGGGCCCACTGGGGTCGCGAGACTCAGAGATGTGTGTGAAGGGTTCTCCTTCATGATGTGTTTGACTATGGTTGGTGCATAAGAGGAGCAGACTGGGGGTCTGTGACTCCCTACAGATTGGCCAAGGCCTTGGGGCCACTCAGGGCTCACTTCTGGTTTTGGAGCCTGTATATGTGGTTACATTTACAAGACAACCAAAGAAGCTGTACTTTGTCAGTGAATGTCAATAAATCTCTAGGAACTGTCCTGTCTCTTTCTTCTTTCTACTGGAAGCCAAACTTCTGTTCTCTCTCAAATTCCTGTCAAGGGGCAGTGGGTGTCAGATCTTCTGGCCCTCAGTTTTTTGTTTTGGGGTCACACTTGCTGATGCTCAGGGACTACTCCTGCTATACTCAGGAATCACTCCTGGTGGCCTTGGGGGACCATATAAGATGCTGGGGGTCGAACCCAGGTTAACTATGTGCAAGGCAAATGCCTTGCCCACTGTATTATGGATCATTTTTGAGGTTAGAAGAAGAGAAATGTTGGGAGCAGGAGGCCTTCCCCATGCCAGATCTTTGCCCTTTCTCAACAGAAACCAGCTTTTTTTTTTTTTATGGCTAATGCTGTGGTCCTTAGAACCAGCCAGAAATCTACTTCAGCTTCTTGCACACTCCAGAACCTCTTGCATGGAGGGTCAGAGTGATAGTACAGCAGGTAAGGGGTTTGCCTGGCATGCGGCTGATTAAGGTTTGATCCCTGGCATCCATATGGTCCTCTGAACCCCCTGAACATCACCAAGAATGGCACAAAAACAAATGAAAAGAAGAAATCTCTTGCATGTTTGTTCTGTTATCCTGGTTCCCTTCACCTATGTCTGTGTACTCTTTTCATATGCGACTCCACTCATTCAGATTTTATGAATATGTATGAGACTGATGTAAATACCATGCCCAAACATTGCTCTTGGCCTCACAGTAAAAGCTTAAGACTCATTAAAAATTAAAAATTATGTAAGTAATAAATGGGTGGTTACATTTATTATTTACATATATATTTTTAGATGACAGCAGAGAGATTTATTATATGACTACAAAACTGGGATGAGGGTTTGGGCACTCTCAAGAGAATCATCTGGACAATAGCTTTAAAAATTAAAATGGGGCTGGCGAGCTCCCTCTACCCACTCACCTGCGCTCAGCAGCAGGGTCAGACAGCAGGGACCTCACCCATGTGCATGTGGCTGTGGTGAGTCTAAGGACAATAGGGAACCTCTGGCATAAAGAGGTCCAGTAGCAAGATTTCAGACTAGGAAGCAGCACTGGAGGGAGAGAGAATGGGGTAGGGACAAGACCAGGTCATTGTACTCTGGAGGTGAGCTGACGATGAGGGGCAAGACTTAGGATGCAAACACTGGACCAGGCAGTATGGGCCTTGTCTCTGGGTGACGATGTTCCTCTGTCCAGTCTGTCTGGGACTTCTATGTTCGGTGTTCAGGCTGCTTCTTCTGCTGCTTTTTTAAATACTTTTTTTAAAAAAACGTATTTATTTATTTATTTATTTATTTTGCTTTTTTGGGTCACATCCACCTTCGGCGTCAAAACCACACCCCATGCGCTACATTCCCGCGCCTGCGCAGAGGCGCGCGCGCCCGAAGGAGGAGGATTGTCCCGTGTCGCTTTCCGTCCGCCCCGCGGCCACTCTGCGTCCGGGAGCTGTTGCGGGCCATGGCGTTCCAGTGCCAGCGGGACAGCTACGCCCGGGAGGTGCGGCGGGCGGGCGAGCGGGCGGCGTCCCGGGGCTGGGGGCGCGGGGCTGGGGGCGCGGGGGGCAGGTGCGCGCGGCGTCCCGCGCCCGCCCCGGCTCACACGCCTCCCCCCTGTCGGGCCAGTTCACCACCACTGTGGTCTCGTGCCGGCCCGCCGAGCTGCAGAGCGAAGGGAGCCACGGCAAGAAGGAGGTGCTGAGCGGCTTCCACGTGGTGCTGGAGGACACGCTGCTTTTCCCCGAGGGGGGCGGACAGGTAGCAACCGCCGTTTAGCACATTTGTTTTTGCAACATATGTTTCTCAGCACACACTTGCAAACATATCTATCATACTCGTTCAGGCGACAGAGAGGGTGTGTGTGTGTGTGTGTGTTTCCCCTAGGGGTGTAGACAGGTACCAGCCGCTGTTTAGCACATTTGTTTTTGCAACATATATTTCTCAGCACACACTTGCAAAACGTATGTATCATACTCATTCAGGCGACAGAGAAGGTGTGTGTATGTGTGTGTAGGGGGAGCGTGACCAGTGTACCTGTGTCTGTGGGTTGTTTACTGACTATGAAACAAACAACTCGTGCACAGGTAGAATGAGCTTGAGAAAGTACAGTAAGACTGGTGGTGGGGTGGGGTGACGATGGTGGCAGGATGCTATCAGAGGTGGGGGCCAAGATAGTTCAGTAACGTCTAGAAGAAGTGAGGGGGCAGGGTTTCCTAGGTCGCTCAGTGGACTGGAGCACTTGCTTTGCATGGCAGTCCCCAGAGCATCATGGGAGGGGCCCCAAGCACTGAGCCTAGAGTATCCCCAGTATCTCAGGACTATTGCAAAAAGCAAAAGACAAAGCAAAACAAAAATAAAAGGAACAGCAGTGAAGGGGTGAGCCGTTGCTAATAATCTAGTAGTGCCAGTGGTGGTGGGGGGGGTGAATGGTTAGTGCAAACTCTCTGATAGGGATCATGGTGTTTGACTGGGCTGGAAACGAATTCTGGAGTTAGGTGAGCTGGAGGAGGCACAGAAGCACAGCTGACTGGGAGGGACTAGGTCCAGTGTGTACTTGGAAAGGAAATACCACCAAAGATGGACAGCAGAGAGAGTTTTTTTTGGAGGGTGGACGCCCCACACTGGGTTGTTCTCTGGGCTTACTCCTAACTCTGGGCTCAGGGATCACTCCTGGTGGACTGGGGGACCCTATAGGGTACTGGGGATCAAACCCCAGTTGGCCACCTGCAAGGTACGTGCCCTACCTCCTGTACTATCTCTCTCTCACTCCAGAGAGTCTTTCTAGCAGGATAATGGCTCAAAGAAAGTTTGGGAGGCCTTGAAAGCATTGAGGAAGTCTAGTTAACTACAACTAATTCCATTTAGATGGGGAAGATCCATTTAGGTGACATAGGGGAGGTCAGTAGGCAGGGTCAGAGGGCCGTGAAGGAGACTGCTATGGCTGTGGACTTCATTCAAGAAGCTGTGGTGATCCCCACGGAGGTGCTTAGGTAAAGAACATGTTCAGTAAGCTTGCTAGTGACGAGGTGCCTGTTTCACACCACTATCCATCACTAGTAACTGTGGATTTCCTAAAAGGGGAGGTTTCCAGAACTTCGAATGGAAACCAAAATCTGTAGAAAGTCTCAGTGTACTCATCACTTCTTTCAGGAAGTTGTCCCTGATTTCTCCAAGACTCGTAGGTTTCTTTCCCTCAAGCACCTTCTGGAAAATGTGCCATTTCATATTATGGCATGTTGTAGATCCTAGCTTCTTGCCAACTGTGTTTGCCAGCCCAAATGGAATAGTGTAACTGAATATAAGGGTTGTGAAAACCTTTTTTTTTTTTTTTTTTGCCACACTGGTTATGGTCAGGGGTTACTCCTGGCTCTGCACTCAGGAATTACTCCTGGTGGTGCTTTGGGGACCATATGGGATGCCAGGGATCAAAGTGGGTCAACTACGTGCAAGGCAAGTGCCCTGTCCACTATACGATGTTTCTGGCCTCCCTGCTCAGTCTTTATATCTAGGAGTTGGGGTGCGCCTTGCCTGCCCCATTGATTTCCTTCACTTCTTTGTCGCAGCCTGATGACCGTGGTACAATTGATAACATCGATGTGCTAAGAGTGACCCGTCGGGGTGCCCAGGCTGATCATTTCACACTGACCCCCCTGAGCCCTGGGAGCGAGGTCCAGGTCCGGGTGGACTGGGACCGGAGGTTTGACCACATGCAGCAGCATTCAGGTAGGTGGAGCCATTGCCTTGTCTTGGAAATGCGATTTGGGTAGTTAGGAGTTTGCCTGTTAGAGTTAGCGTGGGGGGCTAGAGAGATAGTGCAACGGGTAAGGTGTTTGACTTGCTTGCAACCAGCCCGAGTTTGATCCCTGGCGCCGCATATGGTCCCCTGACCCTGTCAGGAGTGATTCCTGAGCATAGAGCCAGGAGTAAGCCTGAGCACTGGCTGTGGCCTCAAAACAAAACATAAAATCTCACACACACACACACACACACACACACACACACACAGAGAATCAGATTGGATTCAGGCAGAATAGTAACTATAAACAAGTAAAGTAAAAGGGTCAAGCAAAAAAAAAATGTGTCAAGCAACTTGGATTTGAGTATTACTGGTTCATCAGTTGCTTTATTTTGGGGGGAGGTGGTGGGGATGGGGGGACCACACCCAGCAGTGCTCCAGGGCTACTCCTGGCTCTTCACTTAGAAATCACTCCTGGAGGACATGGGGGACCATATGGGGTGCAAGGATTGAACCCGGGGGAGCTGGAGTGATAGTACAGTGGGTAGGGCATCTGCCTTGCACGTGACTGACCTGGGTTCAATCCCCAGCATCCCATATGGTCCCCCGAGCACTGCCAGGAGTGATTCCTTAGTGCAGAGCCAAGAGTAACCCCTGTGCATTGCCCAGTGCAAGCCAAAAATAAATAAATAAATAAATAAATAAATAAATAAATAAAAGGATTGAACCCAGGTCCACTGCATGTAGGACAAGGGCCTTCCCCGCTGTACCATCTGCCTGGCCCACACTGGGGACGTGAACTTATGACTCTACTTGCTTTGCATGGCTGGTGAGTCCAGACCTCTGCCCTGTGTCATCAGGCTCCTGGCTCAGGGATTCTTAAAGTCAGCATGTCAAAATGGAATTAAAAAGGAACTAAAGATCATGTAGGAATTAAGGTTCTTTGCTGGGGTGTGGGTGAGACATGAGGTACTAGGGATTGAACTCGGTCTTGCATGTGGCCACCCACATTTTGAGCCCCAGCACTGTGTATGGCTTCCCCTTCCTTCCCTACCAGCATTGCCCTGAATGACCCCAGAGCATAGGACTGGGAGTAGCCACTGAGCACCTCCAGGTATGGTTCACCCCACCAAACCACCTTTCCCCTGATAAATAAAAGAAGCATTAGGTGACTTCTTACTGGTTTTTATTTTGGCTGCACCCAACAGTGCTCAGGGCTTACTCCTGGCTCTGTGCTTAGGGAATCACTCCTAGCAGGGCTAGGGGGACCATATGGAGTACTGGGGTCAATCTCAGGTTGGCTGCATGCAAGGAAAGTGCCCTTCCCGCTATCCTGTTATTTGGCGTATAAAATGACTTTTTCTTTTTTGGGTCACACCAAGTGATGCTCAGGGCTAACTCCTGGCTCTGTACTCAGGGATCACTCCTGGTGGTGCTTGGGCAGGGGTGCTGGGAATTGAATTGGTCTGCTGCATGCGAGTCAAGTGTCCTACCTGCTGTACTATCTCATCAGCCTTAAATGTCATTAACAACAGAAAAGGAAAAAGAATCTAAGCATCTCCCCAGTTACTCCACATAGTGCCTGGCAGTCCTCTGAGACCCCCACTGTGCTGTGTCTCTCAGAAGGGGGCAGAGCGACATGTCCCACCCTCTCAGCCCCTCCTGCCCCTTCCCCTTGTCCAGGCCAGCATCTCATCACCGCAGTGGCTGACAGTCTGTTTGGGCTGAAGACAACATCGTGGTGAGTAGGGGCACAGACCACCCAAGGGCAGGCTTCCCTAGTACCAGCTCCAAGGTGGGGAGTGACGGGAGGGGTCCTGTTCTCCATTGTCTGTGAGCTCCATCTGGCTAGATAACCCTGAGTCAGGGGGGAAGCACCAAGAGGAGGAGGAGATAAGAGTCCTTGCTGTGGATGAATGTGGAATTTGTTGTTTGTTTTTGGACCACACCTGACTTTCTTAGGACTATTCTCAGGGCTTAGGCCTGACTCTTGGCTCTGTGCTCAGGGATCACTCCTCGTGGGGTCGATCAGGGGGCCATCTTTCAGGTGGTGGGGATCCAACTCTGGTCACCCAAGTGCAAAGCAAGCACCCTACCTGCTGTACTCTTGTTCTAGCCCGAATGTGGAATGCGGGGCCAGAGTCTGTGCCCTCATGTTTTAGTCACATTCCCTTCTCACTCAACTATAAAATGGAAACAGCAGCTCCTGTTCTGAGGGCTTATGAGTGAGGATTAAGTAAGGTCATTACTTTTCTTTTTGGTTTTTGGGCGACAGCTAGCAGTGCTTAGGGCTTACTGTGCTCAGGGATCACTTCCTGGCAGACTCGGGGAGTGAAACATATGGGGCTTCAGGGATCGAACCCAGACCTGGGTTGGCGGTGTGCAAGACAAGCACCCTGCCTTCGATACCGCAGCCCAAAGTAAAATCGTTTTTTTTTTTTTTATTTGGAGGTCACACGTGGTGGTGCTCAGGGTTTACTCCTGACTGCACTTAGGAATCTGAGTTCTGGTGTTGCTGAGGGGACCTTATGGGGTGCCAGGGATCGAACCTGGGTCGGCCACATGCAAGGCAGGTCCCCTACCTGCTGTGTATCTCTCTCACCCAATAAGATCATTTCTGTCGGGGGTGGGGAACCTTTTTTCTGCCAAGGGCCCTTTGGATGTTTATAACGTTCACAGTTCACAGACAGCCAGATAAGAAGCTCCCGTGTCTGTGCTGTGGGCCATGCTAGGATTCCACATGGGCTGGGGGCTACCCCAGGACCTGAGAGTGCTCCCGGGCTGGCTGCCTTCAGTGCCTGGTGACTGCTCTCCTGATAGGGAGTTAGGGCGGCAGCGCTGCGTGGTGGAGCTGGACAGCCCCTCCGTGACCGCGGAGCAAGTCTCTGCCATCGAGCAGAGCGTCAACGGGAAAATCAGAGCACGGCTGCCGGTGACGGTTCGGGAACTCAGCCTGGACGATCCGGAGGTAGAGCAGGTAAGAGAGAGTCCGGGGGGAGAGGTCGTGGGCACGGCCCCTCTGAGGGTCCCGGGCCAGCATACAGATAGCTCTTCTCCAAACCTGCCAGGTCAGGGGTCGGGGCTTACCAGATGACCACGCTGGGCCCATCCGAGTCGTCACCATCGAGAGTGTTGACTCCAACATGTGCTGTGGCACCCACGTGAACAATCTCAGTGACCTTCAGGTATGGGGGTGGTGCCTGGGGAGGGGGGCATATGACAGGGCTGGGAGTGGTCAAGGGTGACAGCTGAGGTGTCCCTAAGTGAAATCACTCCTTTATTGCTTCGTTGTTGTGACAGCGTTGCTTGTCCACTTGGCTCCTTGTAGGTCATTAAAATCCTGGGCATTGAGAAGGGGAAAAAGAATAAGACCAACTTGGTATTCCTGGCTGGGAACCGCGTTCTGAAGTGGATGGAGAGAAGCCATGGGACCGAGAAAGCGCTGACTGGGCTGCTGAAGTATGTCCCTCTTCCCGTCTTGAACCCCAGGGGTTTTGGCTTCCTCACTGCTCAGGGAGGTGGAAGAGCTGCTTCCCCCCGGGGGTGTGTTGCAGCCCTCAGTGGATTCCTCCCTTGTGGTTGTTTTCCCTTTGTTTTATTATTATTATTTTTGGCAGCTGGTGGGGGTTGAGGTAAACCTGGTGGTCCTCAGCACTTACTCCTGGCTCTGTCCTCCATATATGGGACGTATAAGGTGCCGGAAATCGAACCTGGGCCAGCTGAGAGCAAAGCAAGTGCCTTTACTCACTCTCTTATCTCTCTGCTCTGGTTTTTAATTTCGATGCCGGCTTTCAAACCAAGGGTCTCAGGCCTGTGAAGTCTGCACTCTGCCACTGAGAGAGTCAGCACAGGCAGCCCTGCGTCCCACACCTGCTGGCTGCTGGACCTGGTAACTTTCCTGGGTGTGTTCTGCATGGAGCGTGTCTAGTCTTTACTGTGTTGCCTCTTTCTTTGGGATGCTGAGCATTTTTGTCAGCATAGTCCCTTTAGTGATTTTTTTCTCCTCTCCCCTTTCTCCTGTGTTGCTTTTTCTCTTTGAAATTGTTGATAAGGCAGCTGAACCACTTTTTTTTTTTTTTTGCTTTTTGGGTCACACCTGGTGATGCACAAGCGTTACTCCTGGCTAGTGCAAGAATTACTCCTGGCAGTGCTCGGGGGGACCATATGGGATGCTGGGAATTGAACCTGGGTCGGCCGCCCTGATCTTTCTCTTGCAGGTGTGGGCCTGAGGAGCATGTGGATGCAGTGCAGAAGCTGCAGAACTCCACCAAGCTCCTGCAGAAGGTGACCGCTCTGCGGGGGAAGGCGGGAGGAAGGGCGCAACACCCCGCCTGGAGGGGCCCCCAGACGTGGACCCCCCCACCCCTCCTCCCCAAGCTGTGGCTGGTCAGGGTGAGGAGCAGGGAGGAGTCATGGGGCCCTGGCCGCTCAGTTGTCATGTCTCTTCCAGAACAATCTGAGCCTGCTCCGGGACCTGGCCGTGCACACTGCCCGCAGCCTCAGGAGCAGCCCAGACTGGGGCGGGGTGGTCATGCTGCACAGGTGAGAGGGGCCTTGCTCTGCGCAGTGCCAGCTGGTGTGCCCAAGGCCATGTGGCCCCCAAGAAACGTGTCAGCCGCCCCACCTCTGGGCCTGACAGCAGCCCCCTCACAGCCTCGCTAACAGCACCCGCGCTGCCCTTCCTTCTCCTCCTGCGGGCACTTTAGAAACAAGCCCAAAGCTTGTCGGGAGCCGCTGACTGCTGAGACCCAAAGGGACCCTGCTGGCCCTTGATATTGTTCTCTTGCTAGGGGGTGGCGGGGCGGTTCCACAACCAGCGGTGCTCCTGGAGTAGCCAGGTGCAAGGCAAGTGCCCACTCTCTGTCGTATCTGGTGCGTCCCTGCTGGCCTCTCTCTGCTAAGGGCCTGGGGAATTTGCCCAGAGACAGTAGTTGGATACCAGCGTCCCTCTGGAGGTCCCGGGCTTGCTGTAGCTTCCCTGTTCCCACGCCACCCTGGGTCTCCCATCTGTCTCGTAGGAAGGAGGGTGATTCCGAGTTCATGAATATCATCGCCAACGAGATCGGCTCAGAGGTAAGAGGAGCGTGCCCTATGCTGGACACTTAAGTGAGGGGGTTAGGTTTGCTGAAACCACAACTAGAAATTTGTTACTTTTTTTTTTCTGGCTTTTTGGGTCACATGCAGCAGTGCTCAGGGGTTACTCCTGGCTCTACACTCAGGAAATACTCATGGTGCTACTTGGGGAACCATATGGGATACTGGGAATTGAACCTGTTTGCAAGGCAAACGCTCTCCCCACTGTACTATCACTCTTTTTTTTTTAATATAATTTTAAAAATCTAAGCCTGCTGTTTTTTTTTTAATATAATTTTGGGGGTTCCACCTGGTGCTCAGAGACCTCCCTCTGGTGTGTGCTGGGGACTGGGCCCAGGCCTCTCCCTTGGCAAGCATGTGCTCCAGCCCTATGAGCCATCCCCGTGTCCCCAGGATGACTTCCTGAGATCTGTCCGTGAAGCAAGCTCAGTGTAGAGATGAAGCTAGGTCTGTGGTGTGGCTCCCTGGGGTCGTGCCTTTTCTGCAGATCCTTTTCTCGGCGTTGGAGCGCCACCCAGGCTGAAATCCTGGTTTTTGTATGCCAAGGGCCGGGTTTTAGGACTGTGGGGCGTACCAGGCCCCTGGAAGGAAGAAGTTTAGAATGTTTGTCTTGTATGCAGCCAACCGTGTTTGAACTCCAGCATCGCGTATGGCCCCCTGAGCCCTGCTGGAAGTGATTCCCTTTGCCTCTGCCTCTGGCCTCATCCCTGAGGCTTAGTGATGGCACTGACCTCCGAAGCCCCTTTCAGACACCTGCTTTGGTCCCTCTGTGTCTCGTTTCCTGCTGCTTTTTTTTTCTCTTTGGTTTTTGGGTCATACCCAGCAATGCTCATGGATTACTGCTGACTCTACACTCAGGAATCACTTCTGGTGGTGCTTGGGGAACTATACAGGATGCCAGGGATCAGACCCGGTGCAAGACAAGTGCCCTCCCCACTGGACTATTGCCCTGGGCCCTTTTCCTGTTTCTTCCTGTTTCTTCCCTGCAGTGTGGACTGGCTCTCCTGAAGACAGCCGTGTGTATTGAGGTTTCAGGTTCCGAATGAGCAAAGGGGGAGGCAGGGACTGGGGAGATAGAGCTCAGTACTTGAGCTCATCCATGGAACTACGCCACGTTTTCTCAGAAACCTCCCAATATAGTCGTGACAGCCTCTGAAACTCTAGGCTGTGGTCCTGGTGGCCCCCAAGCCCATCTGGGATACTCCCTCTCCAAAAACATAAGAATACGGGGAGAGAGTACAGTGGGTAGGGCGCTTGTCTTGCATACAGCTGACCCGGGTTTGATTCCCAGTACTGGTTATGGTCCCTTGAACACCTCCAGGAGTGATCCTTGAGTGCAGAGCCAGGAGTAACCCCTGAGCACCACTGGGTGTGACCCTCTCCAAATAAAAGAAAATAAAATAAAAATAATAAAAAGTTCCTCGTGTGGTTAGGGTTAGCGGTCTTTGCCTCCTTCTTGTGTAAGAAGGTTCCAAAAGTCCCATTCATAATGTTTCTTGGCTTGTTGGGGGGCAGGGGGGCAGAGTAGAGGAGCTGCTTTAGGAAACTCATGGTTTAGGGGAACACGAATCTGTTCTTGAGACTGAAAAGAGTGTGGGGTGTGGGTGTATGTAGAGTGCCTGAGCCAGCAGCCTTCAGCGTAGGGCTTTCCTCCTGTGTCACCTCCTAGGGGACCCTCCTGTTCCTGACCGTGGGCGAAGAGAGAGGCGCAGGGCTCTTCCTGCTGGCAGGGCCCGCAGAGGCTGTGGAGACCCTGGGACCCAGGTAATCTGTGGGGACCCCTTTCCTGGATGGGGGAGCTAGGCAACCTCACTGATAGCCCATTACCAAGGAGAGGCCACGTCCATGATCTCAGCTGTCTCCGAGGCCCAATAATGTTATTTTGGGGTGCCCGAGAGAGAGCACAGTGGGCATGATGCTTTCCTTGCACGCGACCAACCTGGGTTCCATTTACCATCCCTGTAGGGTCCCCCAAGCCCTATCAGGAGTGATCCCTGAGTACAGAGTCAAGAGTAAGCCCTGAATTGCCAGATGTCGCCCTCCCCTGAACCAGAATAGCGTTATTTATTTATTTATTTTTCTTCCCCCCTCCCCCTCTTCATCTTCCTTTGTAATGGTGATTGCAATGGCTGGGGTCATGCCTAGCTGTGATGGTCACACACTTTTAGCTGGGGTGCTCGGGACTATTCCTGGGTTGGCGCTTTGGGGTTGGTTCTGGCAGGTACAGGGAGGGATCATGGCTCTGGGCATCCAATCTGGGACTCTAATGCAAGTATTGTTGTGTTGGGGGGAGGGGCCACACCCTGCTGTGCTCAGGGCTTACTCCAGGTTCTATGCTTAGGGATCACTCCTGGTGGTCCTTGAGGGGGGGTATCTATGGTACCAGGCATCAAACTGGTATCAGCAGCTCACATGCAAGGCAAGCTCCTTAACCCTGTACAATCACTCTGACCCCCCTGCCAGCTGTCTTTAACACGGATTCTTAGAAACCACCTGCTTTTCTCCTCCCTTTCCCGGATTCCCCAGGAAAGAGTCAGAACTGACCCCAGATTTTCCCTCCTAGACCCGGTTGTCTCTCTCCTTTCCAGGGTGGCTGAGATCCTGGAAGGCAAAGGCGCGGGCAAGAAAGGCCGCTTTCAGGGCAAGGCCACCAGGATGAGCCAGCGGGCGGAAGTGCAGGCGCTTCTTCAGGACTACGTCAGCAGGCAGAGCTCTGAGGAGTGAGCACGGACCAGCCTCCTGGACCCACAGTCTCTCGGACAATAAAATAGTTTGGTGTGGGGTCACATAGGAACAGTTCATACCACGCTTTGGAGTGTGCCATGTAGGGAGTAAATACTCGGTTTTCTGCTGGTCCCTCTGAGGCCTGCCTCAGGCCTGGGAAGAGCCTGGAGTGCGGACGGGCTCTGACTCAGGGGGGCTGCGACTGGCAGCAACTGGGGGCCCGAGGTGCGTGCAGGGCCTGGCTGTGTGTTGCCCCGGCTGTAGACTCCTTCCCTGGGAATCTTTGTTCCTCACATCTAGTAAAAGAAAATACCTCCTTTTGTCTTTCGTTCCCTTTTTTTTTAACTTAATTTTCTTTTTTTTTGTTTTCTTTCCTGTTCTGTGCCTGACCCAAAAAGTATCAGTGGCTTTGCCAGTAGGTCAAGAAGTCATAGTACTTACCAAGTGGACAGAGGCTCCAGCTTCACCTAGGGGGCATTGAAAGGGGGAGCATGGTGCCAGGGCACGCGGGCCTGGAGGAAAGTGGGAGCCTGTGGGAGAGGAGATCTCCCTGACTGTGACAGTCCCCCGGGGGCATGGCCTGAGGAAAAGAAAGACCAAATCCTTTTTCCTCTGCTGCAATCTCAGCCCGAGGGGGGCTGGGATGTAACTCAGTGGGAAAGCGTCAACTTCCCAAGGTCCTCAGCCCCCGTAAAAATAAGCGAATACATGAAACAGACTCAAGATGGGCCAGGGACAGAATCTCTCCACGGGAGGTCCTGGATTCAATCCTTGGCACCACAGAAACAATAATGGACATTGTCAAGTCAGAGAGGAGACTTCCTAGTCCACAGAGGAGGGTGCCCAGCATTTTGGAACGGTGGGTGGAACAGGAGGATGCACTATCCCGAGATTAGGAGAGGAGGCTTTGGACTTTTACAGACCTGAGGAGAATTTTGGGCTTTGTGAATCAAGGGCATAAAACTAAAGAAAGTGAGGGACTGGTAAGAGCTCAGGGCGAAGGCACCTGCCCCATTTATGGCCAACTCTGATCCATCTGTTGCATCACACTGCAGGGTGCTTCTGAGTGTGGCCCTGGGGGTCTCTGAGTCTCCTGAGTGGCCTGGCTAATCCTACAGGCCCACATCCTCCAACCATGGCACTGAACCACTACTGTGGTCACCCAGGAATCCTTGGGAGGGGCCCCTGGGGCCCCTGAGCTCCACCTGTGAGGCCTCCCCCACCAAAAAAAGAAAAGTCTTTTTTTTCTAATTTGCTTTTTTTTTTTTTAAGGTAAAAATTTCATTTGGAAGTTCTGAGGGGGGATGCTCTAGAGAACATGGACTTCTGGGGGTGGCAGGGAGAAAGACAGAGGGAAGAGAGAGAGAGATGCTCAAGAGAGAGCGTGGGCTTCTCCAGAGTGGACTGGGAGCCTCAGGACATACCCCAGCATTAGATATGAAAGTCCACATCTCAAGAGGGGAGATGCGGGCACTACGTGTTCAGGCAGCCCATGGACTGAGGCAGCAAATGCGTATGGTTGGGGGTATGGTAGACTTTATGGTGGTACTTGGGACTTACTCCTGGCTCTGTGCTCAGGGATCATTCCTGACAGGCTTAGAGTGATAGTATAGCAGCTAGGGCACTTGCCTAGTATTTGACAGACCCAGGTTACATCCCTGGCACCTCAGATTGTCCCTGGAACCCCAACAGGAATGATCCATGTAGGCAGAGCTAGGAGTAACCCCTGAACGCTTCCAGGTGTGGCCCTACCCCCCTCAAAAAAAAAAAAAGGAAAGAAAAGAGGAGGAAAGTTCCCCATCACTCCTGAGTGAGCCTGGCAGTGTCCCTGCCCTGTGCTATGATTAGAGCTGGGACAGAGATTCGGAAGGAGCAGGAGACAGCTGCTCTCTGCAGGAGTGTTTCTGAAGGGGGTGTGGTTTCTAGGGGGGCTGGAGTTTTTTTTTTTTTATTATTTTGGGTCACACCTGGTGATGCACAGGGGTTACTCCTGAGTCATGCACTCAGGAATTACTCCTGGCGGTGCTCAGGGGATGCTGGGAATTGAACCCGGGTCGGCCGCATGCAAGGCAAACACCCTATCCGCTGTACTATCACTCCAGCCCCTGGAGTTTCTTTAATCATCTAAGCTCTTATTAAGGGAGCAACGTGGCCTCTGGCATGGCAGGGCAACCACTCGGGACTAAAAGGGGGTGGGCTGCAGGGCGGTAGGTGCTGCTTCCTGTGAATGTGTCGTTCACATCAAATGTGTTCATGGTCCTCATGGACCCCCTGTTCTGCTTGAGCACAGCTTGCAAGCCTTAAGCATAGTGGGTATTTTTCTGATCAAACCTTAGAGACCAGAGGGCACCCCTTCTCCCTGTTTCTCTGGGGCTTAGAGGAATGTTCCAGAATGTATACTCTATGTGGGTGTGTGCATAAACACTCATTTTGGACTAATCATCCTGTATGCTCCTTTAATAGTATCCTAAGGCATAACTCGTCTCATTCCACTTGGGTTTCTGGTAAACCTCCAGAGCAAAGATCTAGCCCTTCCCCTGAACATAAGCCCCCTCACCCTCCTGCTGTTCCCCTCCCTGCTCAGGGCACTGAATCAGGGCCCTGGGCAGGCATGAGGAACACCACAGTGCCCTGACTGTGGTTCTCTTTCTCTTTCTTCGTCAGCTAATGACTTCTTGCATAAGTGGGTCAAAAACATCTTAATTGAGTTACTTCAGAACATTGCTGCTTTCTGTAGATGTGAATTCATAGTCTACTTTCGGGCCAAGAGGCTGAAGCTTGGGCAGTGTTTCAGCAGGGAGAAGCAGCCCCCGAGCTCAGGAGTGCAGTGTGGTTCCTGGATGTCTATTACCAAACTTTTCCAAAGATCATATGGGGCTGGAACAGGAGTCCTGGGTTCAATCCCCAGAACCACTTGGTTCCCCTCAGAATGGCTAAGAGCAAAAGAGCATAAAGCTGGGAGTAGCCCCTGAGCACCACCAGGGACAAAAACAAAGATTATCCCAATTATATGTGGCCTACATCTTGCTCCTCTTTTATGAAAGAGCATCTCTCCCGCAGTTAACTACTATGTGATTTTAGGACGGGGCCATTTAAGGATCTTGAAGCCTTCTGGTGCCTTTTGGCAAACAAAAAAGGATTAAATAAGCAAGTTATAAATAGAAGAGAAACCCTTCCATTGTAACGCAGTCTCTGATTTTACCTCTTGGAGACCGGTACACGTGTTCTAATGCTGTAATTGGAAAAATGAGATTTCTTCTGTAATTCAAAACAGGAACCCCCAGTTCCCTCCATGTAATACCAAACCTGTCTGTGTCCCCCTTTCTGTGACTCTGGGCTCAATCTCTATGGCAACTGTGTCCACGTGTTTTCATGAATGGTGCTAAACAAGGGTTGTTTTTTTTTCCTGTTCTGGAACCTGGCTGTGGGTAGAATGGGGGATTTCCACTCCGCTTGGAGAAACGGAAAATGAAAAAAATTCAGTTCCTCAGGTTTGCTTTGCTTCGTTCTTATTGCATGATTTTACCATTATTAACTCTTCCTAAGGTTCAGCAAGAAAGCTGATCTTGAATTTTTTTGTTCTTGTTCCCTTCTGGAGCTCTGCAGAGGGTTCCGTTCCGCATCGGAACCTCTACGGTTCAACAGCAGGGGGCGCTGTGAGCCTGCGGGTCGGGCAGCTGCTGCCGGAGCCAGCCTGGGGAACAGGCCCCCTGACTCATCTTCCTGATGCTTCTGCCGACATTGTCCGTGGGACGTGGAGCAATCTGTTTCCCACAAGAAAACATGGAATCAAGATGAACTGTGGCATCCAAAAAAATGATTCATCTTTTGTATTTTGGAGAGTTTCCCGTCTTCCAGTTAATCTCTGCTTGTAGTGCACCGGGAGCAGAGACTGTATGGCACTGGGTCCTAACATAGAAACCAGCACTCACTCTGCCACCTTCCAAGGCTCTGAGTTTCTTTCTACTAATTTCTTCGAAGGTTCCAAGACAACAGACAACTGGGCAGGTTTTTTCCCGTCATACCTGCAATGCTGGGGACAGTCCCTAGCAATGCTAAACCTTTTTTTTTTCTTTTTGGGTCATACCCGGTGATGCACAGGGGTTACTCCTGGCTCATGCTACTCAGGAATTACTCCTGGCGGTGCTCAGGGGACCATATGGGATGCTGGGAATCGAACCTGGGTCAGCCACGTGCAAGGCAAACGCCCTACCTGCTGTGCTATCACTCCAGCCCCCATAAACCTTTGAACCATTTTCCCACCTTAAACAAACCAACAGGAGCAGTAACAAAATCAGTTCCAGGATGAAACCTAGGATCTCAACACACATAAGGCAAATGCTCTACCACTAAGACACTGAGCCAAGATCCTGGTCCTTTTCATCTTTCTTTGCTTTGTGGCTTATTGTTTCTCGATTGTTCTCCATCTTTCTGAAATTCTGCCTCCTGAAGGCAGCTTCTTGTCTTCCTTCAGAATCTCACCTCTTTTTTTTTTTTAGAAAGTTTTTTTGTTGTTGTTTGTTTTATTTTGGGGTCACATCCAGCAGTACTCAGGGGTTACTCCTGGCTCTGCACTCAGGAATCACTCCTTGTAGTGCTTAGGGAACCATATGGGATGCCGGGATCCAATCTGGGTTGGCTATATGAAAGGCAAATGCACTACCCACTGTGCTATCACTCTGGCCCCCAAACACTGAACTCGTTCATGACTTTTATCTGTGCATAGAGTACTTCTGTCTCAGAACTAGCTCCAGCTCATTGTGGTTCATAAGCGCGCACACACACACACACACACACACACACACACAAGAATCTGAGGGATGCAGAGGGGATGAAGTAACAGGAGGAAGACTGTGATGGGCCTCTGGTGGCATCAGCAGTCACCTGGAATGTGAACCTTGACAAGATTCAAGACAGGAACCTTAGAGATATACTGCCACAGTCACAGTTGTTTAGTTTCTGCCCATAGTCCCTTTCTAGAACAAATAATGTTCCACTTGATTTAATTTATTGGGAGAATGCTAGCAAAACAAAGGTGAGTCAAAGACAGAGGACAAATAGATATAAGAGATAACCAAAGTGACCAAGGACTGTGTGAAAAGATATTATGAAGTGGGCAGAAGAGATAATGCAGGGCGTAGAGCATTTACCTTGCACACAGTTGACCTGGGTTTGATCCCTGGCACCCCTTACAGTCCCTGAAACCCACCAGAAATGATCCCTATATATAGTCAAGAGTAAGCACTGGAGGCAGCTGAGAGTGACCCAATACCAAAACAAAACTCCCAAGAAA